CAGAAATTTTCTGAAGAAGGGTCTCGACCCGAAACGTCAGCTTTCCTGCTCCTCCGATGCTGCTTGGCCTGCTGTGTTCATCCAGCTCTACACCTTGTTATCTCACGTTTCTAGAAGCACTTTGGAATTTTTTTTAAAATTACATCCAATAACTGAACAATCAAGTCAGATGTTGTCCAATCAAATGTAAATTAATGACAGTAGTGCTGCCTGCTTGAAATTCATTCCAGGTTAATATTCAATTTTTGACACAATTTAACACACTGAATTTTTGAAAAGGGCAAATTATTTACCACTTCACAAACTTAAAGTGCTATTACTTTGACTTCGTGAAGCAATATTCAAGTTCAAAGGTAATTTACAGTTATATTAATCCATGTTTGACTTACCCTCCTTGACTAACAAACACACATAATAATTACACAAGCCATCTGTTTTAAGAGAAATGCATGCTCCATTTCTTACATACCGTAACCTGGTCATCATTCCAAATTATAGAGTCATTTTGGATGATCATCTCTTGCCCTGAGGGTGCGGTCGCATTATAACTGCCAACTACCTTAAAAGAGATATACCCTTCGGAGGTTCTCTGCCAGTTAATGATATCATATATAGCATCGATATCACCATTTTGATCAAAATATATTTCTTCCCCTAGAAGGCTCTTAAACCGAACATTTTTCAGGTAATACATGAGCTAAAAACAACAAAGAAAAAATTAACGAGACATGTTATTTGTGAATATAAAACAGCAATGCAGATGGATCTTCAGCAAACTCTCAATCATACTTTCAATTGTCTATATGCTCTTCAGAGTACATTCTCATGGGCTCCTGGACTGTCAGATTCATTGAGCAAACAACGATTTCTCCAGATGTTAAAAAAGCATATTTATCCATAACTGCTGTTTAAAACATTTAAATCATAAATGCAGTCAATAATTCACAGGTGACACAATATTACTGAGCATAGCATGCTTACAAAATAAGTTTGATTTCTGTGAAAAGTAGAAAGACAATAATACACCTTTGAAACAGTCTGGTTCAATATTTCAAGGTTCCTAAAGATAAGAACAACTTTGAAAGTTACTTGCGTTTCACTTGCCCTTTATTAAGTATTTGTTCACATTTCAGAAACATAAATATTGATGAGCGTCACATTATTTTTAACAACTACTTCAGCAATGAGACCTTTAATTAGATTCTAATCAGTTTTAAGGGTAATTGCCAAGCAAACCAAAGCTGGTATATGAAAGGTTAAAAGTTTGTAATGTCTTGTGATCTGAATACACTGCCTAAAAGGATGGTGAGAGCAAATTCAAAAGTAATTTTCAAAAGGGAACCAGATAAAATCCTGAAGTGGAATTGCACAGCTCTGGAGAAAGAGCAAGAGAACATAGAACATAGAACAGTACAGCACAGTACAGGCCCTTCGGCCCATGATGTTGTGCCGAACTTTTACCCTAAACCTAAGGCCTATCTAACCTCCACCGCTAACTTATACTATCATCCATATGCCTATCTAATAGACACTTAAATGCCCCTAATGAGGCCGTCTCCACTACCCTCTCCGGCAATGCATTCCATGCCTCTACCACTCTCTCAGTAAAGAACCTACCTCTGACGTCTCCCCGAAATCTACCTCCTTTCGCTTTAAAACTATGTCCCCTCATAAAAGCTACCTCCACCCTAGGAAAAAGTCTCTGGCTGTCTACTCTATCTGTACCTCTGATTATTTTGTACACCTCTATCAAGTCACCTCTCATCCTTTGTCGTTCTAAAGAGAAAAGCCGTAGCTCTCTCAACCTTTCCTCGTAAGACCTTCCCTCCGTTCCAGGCAACATCCTGGTAAATCTCCTCTGCACCTTTTCTAATGTTTCCACATCTTTCCTGTAATGAAGTGACCAGAACTGGACCCAATACTCCAGATGTGGCTGAACCAGGGTTTTGTATAGCTGGAGCATAACTTCACGGTTCTTGAACTCAATCCCTCTATTAATGAAAGCTAACACACCATACGCCTTCTTAACAACTCTATCCACCTGGGTGGCAGCTCTCAGGGAACTGTAAACATGAACCCCAAGATCCCTCTGCTCCTCCACACTGCCAAGAATCTTTCCGTTAACCCTGTATTCTGCTTTCAAGTTTGTCCTTCCAAAATGAATCACCTCACACTTTTCAGGGTTAAATTCCATCTGCCACTTCTCAGCCCAGCTCTGCATTCTATCAATGTCCCTTTGTAACCTAGAACAGCGCTCTGCACTGTCCACAACGTGACCCACCTTCGTATCGTCTGTGAACTTGCTAATCCACCCTTCCACTCCTTCATCCAAATCATTTACAAAAATCACAAAAAGAAGGGGACCCAGAACAGATCTTTGTGGTACACCACTCGTAACTGAGCACCATGCTGAATATTTTCTGTAATAGAGAGTGGAAGTAAATAGGATAGTACTTTTAAAGAGGTGTTTAAGGCACCAAAAACCAAATGACCTTTGTTGTACTGCATTATTCTGGATAAAACAGGGCAAGAGCTGAGGCTGCAAGAGTGTTGGACGGAACATTTAGAAAGAATTACATTTCCTCTCTTTAATTTTCTGCTATGTGAAGGTATATTTTACTAGTATGTGTGGTTCACTGAAAAGCAGCACATTGTTACAAACTAGAAATTCAGTAAAATAAATCCTATAGTTCTATGAACCATTGAAAACATACCTGCCAAGGCTGAAAATCTGAGATGTTTGCACATGTTCCATTAACAAATGGACCCTCCCCGGTCTTACATGTGTGCATATTGTGAAGGGCATTTGCCACAGTGTATACGGATTTGTATACACTGTATGTCAGTCTCAGCTGAGATACATCAATATATGTGTTCTCAATTTCATTCAAATTCTCCTTTCCTGTGCAGAGCCGCTGAGAAAGCGGGGGAATAATGTGGATTCTGTTCTTTACATCTGTTCCATTATACTCAGTTGTTTTTAAGTCAAGTGTTCTACTGGCATCCACCCCATGTTCAGGCCACATGCAATCAAAGGCTCGCTCCCAGAACTCAGTGATCAGCTTTTCTCCAGAATTTCTTGGATCTAATTGAATGAGGTGATCACGTAGGCCACTAATATCAGCTCGTTGAATTGCAAATCCAATAGTTCCACCTAAAAGTGAGGAATATTCTGGTTTGGAAATCAATGCAGAGTTAATCCAAGCCTCACTAGCTATCCATGTTCTTCCTGAAATATTGCGTTGCATTACTTCTTCTATTAAAGAGCTCAAATCAATATCAGCAGAAAAGACTGCAATGATTTTGGCAGTTGATTGCTCAATTGTATCTACAATTTGAACTATTTTCTCTCTTGCATAAACTTTGGGGATAGTCTCTGAGAAAGAGATGCATACGCCAACCTTTTCTAACTCCTCTTTAAAGTTTTTAATTCCATATTTCCCATAGTCATCATCTGATGCAATTGTCCCCACCCATGTCCATCCAAAGTGTATCACAAGCTTTGCCATTGCTCTGGACTGGAAAATATCACTTGGTATGGTCCGGATAAAGGATGGAAACTGAAATTTATCACTGAGAACTGAGCAAGATGCTGAGTAATCCACCTGCAAAACATTTGACAAATAAATTAAAATATTCACCAAAAACAATTCAATATCATGTCAACAACATAAGCTAGTTACTGCTTTTCTCTGAAGTTTTTAGGAAGTTTTGTTGTCCATGTGGACACTTACTGTTTGCCCTCACTTTGTTTTATAGTTTCTAAACTTCCATAACAACATAAGATGTAGGAGCAGAAGTAGACCATTTGGCCCATCAAGCCTCTTTCAACATTCAATAAGATCATGGCTGATCTGAGCATCCTCAACTTCACTTTTCTGCCTTGTTCCCATATCCTTGATTCCCTTACAAATTAAAAATCTGTACATGATGAAACAATTTTTGGCCATTCAGCCCATGGAGTTTCCCTTTAAATCACCACAGATTACACCCTAACTCTTAAAATGAATATTTTATGCACTTTTGTAAATTTTCTCCATACTTCTCTAGAATTCCTCTTGATCTAATCACTTTGGCTTCTGAACTATTGGAACAGCCCATTGACCCACCCACTGATTTCAGTAAGTTCAGCATTATTTACATAAACAAGATGTGGCAATGTACATGTGAAGGATTATGGCCATGAACCAAAATCCTCACACTCCACCACGTAATTTGTTGGCAAAACAATACACTGTACCATTTCAGCTGTTCTTTCATTTTCTGCAAACAGAATATAGTTTCTGGCAATTAGTGTTCTGGACACCATACAGCCAATACTTATTTCCAATTCCTGTTCAGTAAGGAAGACAATGCCAAATGTAATGCCGTTTCTATTACAAAACAAGGCAAAGTAAAATCAAGGACAGGGCTGGATGAACACAGCAGGCCAAGCAATCTCTGCTCCTATGATGCTGCTTGGCCTGCTGTATTCATCCAGCCCTGCACCTTGTTGTCTCAGATTCTCCAGCATCTGCAGTTCCTACTATCTCTGAAGTAAAATCAAGGATCAATCAGTAACATTTTATTTTAATAAAAAATGTCTACGTGCCTCATCTTTGCATTTTAGTTTGGAAAAGTTAAATAAAGGACAAGGTATAAATACAAGAGCAAATTAATTGTCTTGTTTAACTAAAATGAACACTTTGCATTAAATTGTATTTTTTTCATATTCCAGGTTCAGATTTCCATTTTCTTTTAAATAGCCTGAACATTCAACATCATTTCACATTTTGCTTTGCAAGTGATGTAAACCCCAGAGCTGAGTCAGCAATTTCAAAAGTTTCTGTAGGAAGAATAATGGATTTCTATCCAAATGTGCACAAACTTTAATGTCTTAATGACAATTATCTTCAGCTGAAAAGCACAACTAAGGATCAATCTGTTTTAACTGTCTGAGTTTGAAATAACTTTAGTACCATTCATTCTTGAAGCACAACTTCTGTTTGTAAGGTAATCTTAAGTAAGATATTTCAATTTCAATTGCAATTTCAAACAATTGTCGAACAAGTCATTTCATTTAATTTTACTATTTGGTATCTTAAAAATCTACATTCTGAAATACTTAATTAAAGTAAATACACTAGTTGGATAATTTGTCAAATTAATGCAATACTCTCCAAACTGATGTTCATCTTCTTAATGACATTATAATAAAACAAAGATTTTATCACTACAGCATTTCAAATCTGTTACCTGAGGAAAATAATACAGTCCCAGGATTCTGGCAGTTGCAATAGAGAGAGCTGACCCACCAGCTCCTACCAGCACTGCCAAAGGAGCTCCATTGCCACACCGGTAGTTGGGTACAGCTTCATCCTGTCCGGTCAGATAAGTCAATGTTCCTTCAACAGCTTTGGAAATAGTAAAACAAGAGTCATAGATTGTGTACCCAAGCTGTACATCTGGTAGAATTGAATCATTTTGGTTGACTTCATTAATCGCATGGATCATTGTTCTGGCCCAGCGGAAAGCTCTGAAATTGAATCTGTTAAACAATTGAAACAAAGGTTAGGAGAAAAGTCCATCTCACACTAACAAAACCACACATTGAGCGGAGAAAATGTAGTTATCAAAGATATCAAAAACAAAGTCTTTCTGTGTGGATTAGAGGAATTTAACAGGTAATGCAACATTAACCTGTATTTATGTAAAATATACTCAACATCATGAAACTTCCCAAGGTGATTCACCAGAGTTTTAACAAGCAAAATTTGACAGTTGACCAAAGGTACATAGTAATGAGGCTTAAAGGAGGAAGGCAAGTTAGAGAAACAGAGATAATGTAGGAGGCAATACCAGAACTTCAGCCTCAGGCAGCTAAATGGATAATAATGATGATGAAGTTAAAATCAAGGAAAGGCACAAGGCCAAAATGGAAGAAGTGAGACACCTTGAAGAATTGTAGTTGTGGAGGAGATTACAGAGGGAGGGTAGCCATGAAAGCATTTGAAAATAAGGTTATTTTTTTAAAAATTAAGCCATTGCTTAATCAAGAGCCAATGTAGGTCAATGTGCAGAAGGAGAATGCATTTTGTAGCAAGGTAGGATATGCAAAGCAGAGTTTTGGATGACCATATGTTCATGGAGGGTAGAAGATGGGAAACCATCTGGGAATGTATTAAAATAATCGTTTCTAGAGGTAACAAAGCCACTTTTGGAGAGTTTCAGCAGCTAATGAGCTGAGGCATCATTCATTAATGCAGCAAGATCATATTTATTTAGACTAGCATGGCTGCAGTTATTATCCTTATCTACTTGTCTGAAGCATGTCCTTTTTGCTTAAAGTATTACTTTCACAAGGACTTGTGGTGTATATAATAGCTGCAGTACTGAATAGCAGCCTTATTTTGCTTAATGATTTTCCTGCCTCAGTGCCATAATTTATTCAAATATTTTCACATTGGCCTAGTAAATTCTTTTGTATGAGCAAGAACTTTCTTTTCCCTTTTTTGTTCTCACAATATAGACATTGCTTCATTTATTAGCCATGCCTTACTATTCCACCTCATAAGGCAGTAAGAGTAAACCAGACTGCAGTTAAGTATGGGCCACACCAAGTGGTTTCTCATCATGATGCACATTACTGAACTATCTGAAATAGCATTCATTGCCATTTTCTTGAAAGAGTCACAAATGGCCAGATATATTGAATTAAAGTTGACAATTTTTCATGTAGGAGATCTGAACTCCCAACTAATGGACTTTTAGTTCACGTCCAGAACTATTAACTACTATACCTTGTCAATGGCAAGAAGCCCCAGATGGCAATCTAAAACCATGTTTAAGAGTAGAACATTTCTCCAAGATATTTTACTGAAATGGGAAGAAGTAAACAAATAGACAATGAAACAGGTATATAGCTGTGGGGGGGGGGGGGGGGGGGGGGGGGGGGCGGTTGAGTGGGTGTGAAATTTAAAGGCATAGCTGAAAAAATTGTGAAAAAGATGAGTTTTGAGAGTTTCTAAGAATGAAGAAAGACAAGAGGAGGAGAGAGGGAGATGTTGCAGAGAGTAGAGCTTAAAGCATTTACAGGACTTCAGAAAATTGAAAAAATGAAAATTGAAAATTACAAACTTTAATTGAAGCTCATAAGTACACAACAGTGGTCAGAAAATACTTCATGACTGAAATGTTACTGGATAAATAGACAAGATGGTGTTGGAGCTATGCTGCCGCAATCCATGTTTACAGACACTGACCAGAGAATGATTAGCGAGAAGTTGTTTTGCGAGCATCAGATTATCACACATCCAATGTATAACTCCAACTTAGGGCCTCATGATCCAAACATGATCATAAAGCTTTGATTGACTCCATTGAAGAAGTGCAGTACTCAGACTCCCAGGCTGCTGTGTCTCACACAGATGAACTGAAGTGCATCAAAGCAGGTCAAAAGCATCTCTACATAGCCACCCCTTTCTCACCTCGAACAGTCACATGATCCATTTAGACACTTTGATCACTAAATAAAGATGTTTTATATGGCTTTTGCAAGACAATAATATATATTGCATTAAAATTTTAAAATTTTAAAACACTTCCTTTCAGACATTATTTTCTAAAAATCTAATAAAGTGTTAAAAGCACTCCCTTTCCATCCTTGATACCAAGTAAATACAAGTTTTATTGAAATGTATATATTGAATGCTTTACTTCTACTTTACTTGTAAACATAAGGAATTGAGTTCAAAGAATTTGCCCAGGTTTATTTCCCTAATTATTTGAGGGAGGCCTATTAAAAATGAAGAGAACCCAAGAAAATAGATGTCAGAAGAGAAAAATGAAGCAGCAGCTAAAACAACGACCAAAGGTTGACAGTTATTTCACTGTCATGAAGGAAGGGCTTATACGCAAGAGAACCAGCGAGGCCTAAAGCAAACACAAGCATCCACTTCCACTAGAACACATGGCACAGTATGAAAGTGACTACTGCAACTGAGAATGTCACAGGGTCTGAAATCCCTGCCAAAAAAAATAGGTACACAAAGTCCAATGATCTCTGGAGTATATTGATTCAGAATAACATTTCATTCTGGATACAGAAAGGTCCCTCAGTGTGTCAACATGGAATAGCCAATTTGTGAAAATGAAGTGAATCATTCAAAAATCAAATTAGATTTTGTTTCATCAGTGAAAATTAATGATAAAAAAAAGTACAGTCAGGATTAGCCAGTATAGTCTCCAACAGCTGGTTGTGTTCACTGTTTTGTCTACATACTCTTCTCAATATTGTTGGCAACACTGGCCAGTGATGACTGGTGAAGCCCTGTTAGAGTTCAAAATCATGTAAGTTCTGAGATTCTAGAAAAGCTTTGCTTACTTATTTGATGAGGCAATTCGGCTTAACCTTGGAGAAAATCAAAATCAAATCAAATAACCTTGGATTCAAACCTACAGGAACAGATGAAAAAGGAGCAATCATATTGGAGGCATGTACTGGAACATGTTATTACAATTACATGGACATTAGAAGAATGTTTACTAGCTTTAAGAGGATAACAGGACCTTTCTTGTCTTGAAAGGACTTTGCTAAACTTTGATCCATTTCTTGCCAATCATATAAAAATTAAGGAAGCAGTTGGGGTAGGACAAATATCAAGTGTACCAATGTTACTAATGGCCTCAGCCCTTGTATCTGTCTCCATACTGAGTACAGTGATCCCTTTCCTGACCCGAGTACAGCAGCCCTGGTCCTGACACCAGCACAGGAGCCTTACCAGTAATCCAAGAACAAGCAGGGACCCCAAACAGACCAAGGCCCGGATAATGGGGCCCAAAGTACAAGTTTTGGCTCAGGGTTTATGTTACAGTTAATTGTTGCTTATTTACTGTAATTTTATTTACTGTTATGAAACAGACAGACAATTTTTCTCCATTTCTACAAAACACTGGGCAGTATTCAAATCAGTTTTGAATCCCAATTCACTGAACTAAAATATCTTTCTGACACTAGGTGGGAAGCACATGCATAGGCAACACTGGCCGTAGCTGTGTATTATGGTTTAATTATTGACGCACTTACTCATCTTCATACTGATGACAGTGAAAAAGGAGAGAAGCTGGCATTCTGCAGTTAAAAAAATAGGAAGGAGAGTTTGTTGTGCTAATCACTGTGTCACTGTGCCATGCCAAATGATATCCTTAAATGATAATCACCACATTTATCACTTTCTGTGCACATAATGCTTAATGCAGACAGCTTTTCTTGAAGTATTGTTGACTGCAATTCATTTCTTTATATTTTCCAAACTTGAAACTGACCTTCCTCCTGAACTGATTGTTGCCAATAGATTCAAAATAAAGCCTCGGTATTGCCTTCATGTTCAAGTTGTAGAATTGTTTGACAGATCAGTTCCACTACATAACAAGACTCAATAAGATGAACAGATGGTCCTTTGTGCATGTGCAAAGCTTGACATGTCACTCTTTCAGTTCTTGACATGACGCCAAGAAAGTTTTGACAGAATTGCACTCTAAGCAAAAGAAAACCTGCTTAATGTAGAATCCAAGTGTATGAATAAAGGAAAAGAATGGGGGAAATAGTCTCCAAGAATCGACTTTATAGTGAATCAGTCTCTTCCTTTGATAGGTGTACTTGAAACCAACTTGAAGGAAAGAGCAATCATTCATGAAAATGTTGCAAAAAACTTTTCATTTTTGGTTGATTCAGATGCATCAGATATTAGCCGTGTGAAGATATGAAAGTTCTGTAGAAAGGTTATCCTGACAATGTGGCTGTGACTCATTGGAGAAATAAGGTACTTCCAAGCTTATAACAAGTAAAGTTATACAGATAAAGGACACTTATGCCACCTGGACCTCTACTGAGTCATCATCCAAGTTCAAAATCAATTGTTTTTCATAGAACATAGAAAATAGGAGCAGGAATGAGTCCAAGAACTATATCTAACTCTTTCTTGAAAACATTCGATGTTTTGGTCTCAACCACTTTCTATGGCAATTTCCCTTACATGAAGGCAATACCAAGGCTTTATTTTGAGTCTATTGGCAACAATCAGTTCAGGAGGAAGGTCAGTTTCAAGTCTGGAAAATATAAAAAAATGAATTGCAGTCAACAATACTGAAAGAAAAGCTGTCTGCATTAAGCATTATGTGCACAGAAAGTGATAAATGTGGTGATTATCATTTAAAGATATCATTTGGCATGGCACGGTGACTCAGTGACTAGCACTGCTACCTCACAGCGCCAGGGACCTCGGTTCAATTCCACCCTTAGGTGAGTGTCTGTTTGGAGTTTGCACATTCTCCCTGTGTCTGTGTGGGTTTCTTCTGGGTGCTCCGGTTTCCTCCCACAGTCTAAAGATGGATTAGGTGGCCATGTTAAATTGCCCACAGTGTCCAGGGATGCACAGTCTAGATGGATTAAGCCATGGGAAATGCAGGGTTACAGGCATAGGGTGAGCCTGGGTGGGATGCTCTTCAGAGGGTTGGTGTGGACTTTATGGGCCAAATGGCCTGTTTCCATGCTGTAAGGATTCTATGATCAGTGATTTTAATGTCCAAAAATCAAGAAAGAGAACATTTTAAATTTGATGCAGGTTGTCTTGCTGCTTCCGTTTAGTAAATTCTGTTCTGTCTAATTGTTGTTGTGCTGTGGTAGATTGAAAGAGTTCATAGATGTTCATCAAGAAATCATAAAATCATAGAGTTATAGAGTTAGACAGCATGGAAACTGACCCTTCGGTCCAACTCATCCATGCCGACCAGATATCCTAAACTGATTGAGTCCCATTTGCCAGCATTTGGCCCATATCCCTCTAAACCCTTCCTATTCATATACCCATCCAGTCACCTTTTCAATGTTATAATAGTCCCCGCCTCCACCACTTCCTCTGGCAGCTCATTCCATACATGTACAACCCTCTGATGAAAAGGTCATCCCTCATATCCCTTTGAAATCTTTTCCCTCTCACCTTAAACCTATGCCCTCTAGTTCTGAACTCCCCCACCCTGGGAAAAAGACCGTGGTTTTCACCTTATCTGTGCCCCGCACAATTCTATAAACCTCTATAAATGTCAGCACCTGATGCTCCAGTGAAAAAAGCCACAGCCTATTCAGTCTCTCCCTCTAACTCAAACCCACTAGTCATGGCAACATCCTTGTAATTCTAGTGTGGAGCTGGAAGAGTACAGCAGGTCAGGCAGCATCAGAGGAGCAGGAAAGATGACGTTTCAGGTCGGGACCCTTCTTCAGAAATGGGGAAGGGGCAAGGGAGCTCTGAAATAAATAGGGAGAGGAGGGGTGGGGCTAGGGAAGGTAGGTGGGATGGTGATAGGTGAGTGCAGGTAGGCAGTGGTGGGGATTGGTCAATGAGATGGGAGGTGTGGATAGGTGGGAGAGAAGACGGACAGGTTGTGTCAGGTCAAGGATGCAGGGATGAGAGGGAGGGTTGGTCATGGATGAGGCTGGGGGTGGGGAGATTTTGAAACTATTAAAGTCCACATTGAGACCATTGGGTTGTAGGCTCCCAAGGCGGAATATGAGGTGCTGCTCCTCCAGTTTCCGGGTGGCGTCGTTGTGACACTGGAGGAGGCCCAGGATGGACATGTCGTCCAGGGAGTGGGAGGCGGAGTTGTAGTGGTATGCGACTGGAAGGTGTTGTCGTTTGTCGTGAACCAAGCACAGGTGCTCTACAAAGCGGTCTCTGAGCCTCCGCTTGGTCTCCCCGATGTAGAGGAGGCCACATCAGGAGCAGCGGATGCAATAGACCACATTGGCGGATGTGCAGGTGAACATCTGTCTGACGTGGAAGGTTTTTTTGAGTCCTTGAATGGAGGTGAGGTGGGAGGTGTAGGGGCATGTGTAGCACTTCCCACGATTGCAGGGAAAGGTGCCGGGGATGGTGGGGCTAGTGAGGAGTATGGAGTGTACGAGGGAGTCGCGGCGAGAACTAACAAGTTGCCATTTTCTCATGAAGGGTCTAGGCCCGAAACGTCAGCCTCTCTGCTCCTATGATGCTGCTTGGCCTGCTGTGTTCATCCAGCCCTGCACCTTGTTGTCTCGGATTCTCCAGCATCTGCAGTTCCTACTATCTCTGATGCCATTTTCTACCTTCCTTTTTAAACAATGGTGTTACTTTTGGAACATTCCAATCTGCAGGTACGTTGCAGAATTAATAGAATGCCCGATTGACTGTAATGCCACTTAGATCATTCTCAAAACAAAAGGGACCTGGGTTCGATTCCACCCTCGAGAGACTGTCTGTGTGGAGTTTGCACATTCTTCCCATGTCTGCGAGGGTTTCCTTGGGGTGCTCCGGTTTCCTCCCACAATCCAGAAATGTGTAGGTTAGGTGGATTGGCCATGCTAAATTGCCCATAGTGTTCAGGGATGTGTAGATTAGAGGGATGTGTCTGGGTGGGATGCTCTGAGTATCGGTGTGGACTTGTTGGGCCAAAGGGCCTGTTTCCACACTGTAGGGATTCTATGAAAAAATGCTATGGATACATTTAAAAAGAAAATAGATAAATACATGAGGGAAAGGAGTAAAATTTTGGAAGGGTTAATAGTGAGGTAAAGAGTTTACAGGAAATATTAATAACGTGTGGACTGCAGGAGTGCAAAAAAGGCAGGTTACCATTGCCTGCTTTAGGTAAAGTGGGAATGGTTATTAAATGCTGACTTGGCAATGATGCTCACATGCTATGAATGTATACAAAAAACCTCCATAAAAATTATTTTAATTGACAGCATATTAGTGCATTTTACTTCCTGGTTTACAACCTATGAGTTCATAATGGGCTATTTTCTTTGCTTGATGGCATCACTGATACCTGGCAACTGGAGATTCCTTTAACTTGGCACTGCATTTGAATTAAATCTGGAATGGAGAAATCCAGAAGCCACTAGTACTTTTTGGGCAGGTTTTTTGAAGTCACTTCGCTACCAACTATAAAATATATGTTGTTATTATATTTTCCTCATCCTTTGAACAGCTGCAGTCTTGTTTGATGACTTGGGATCAACCTAACATTTCCTCCACCTACTACCAGAAGTACAATAACACAAAGAGCTCCTGACTGTGTTGAATGCAGATGATGCAGTTGGAACCTTTACTTGGAGACACAATTGCTCCATCCACTGAAACATATTAACATTGGTGCAGGTGTGGGGGATTCAGCCCTTCAAGACTGCTCTGCCATCCTAGATCCTGGCTGATCATCCAGCTCAACAACATTTTCCTGTGCTGTCCCCATATCGTTTGATGTAATTAGTAATTGGAAATTCATCAGTCTCTCTCTTGCACTTACTTAAAGATTGAGCAACCACTGTCCTATGCGGTAGAGAATTCCAAAGATTCACCACCGTCTGAGTAAAGAACTGTTCTCCCATCTCAGTGGCTTGAGATTGTGTCCATGTTTCTAGACCACAAATCCAGGGAAAACATGGTTTCTTTTTTCTAAATCTATTCTATCAGTTTAAGCATTTTGTAGGTAATCAGATAGTCTCTCATCTCCTAAATGCCACATAATTTAGGACTAGTCACCTCAATCTCTTCTCATTGGATGGTCCAACCATCTCAGGTAGCACTCCCTCTCCTGCAAATATATTCTCCTTTCAGAAAAGAGACCACAGGTATACGCAGTACTCTAGGCGTGGTTTCACCAGTGTTGCATGTTACTGAAGTTAGACTTCTTTGTTCATATGTACAAATCCTCTCATGATAAAAGCTAATATACCATTTGACTTTCAAATATCTTGTTGCACCTGCATGCTAAGTTTGTCTGTTTGGACATCAACACTTTCAAATCTCTCACCTCTTAAGAACTACTCTGTACCTTCATTCCTTCTATCATTGTGGATAACCTCACACTTATCCATGTTGTATTCCATCTTCCGTGCTCTTGTTCATTCACTCAGTCTGTCTAAGTCACCCTGAAGCCTCTTTACATTCTCATCACAATTCACTTTCCCACCATATTTTGTACCATCTGCAAATTTGCAAGTGATATAATTGGTCCTCCAAATCTATATCATTGATATCGAATGTGAAGGGCATTAAACATTGGCAGTAATCTACTAATCCAGGCTGATAACCTGAAAATGACACATTACTCTGACTTTCTGTTTTATGCCCGCTAACCAAGTTTCAATCCATGCTAATATATTGACCCCAATCCCATGCACCTTATTTTTATTCAGCAACTAACTATTTGGGTCTTTACCAAACGTCTTCTGAAAATGCAAATACGCTACATCCACCTGCTAGTAACATTCTCCAATTAATCTATATCACATTTGTTAAACATGATTCTCTTTCATAAATGTATGTTGGCTCTGTTCATCAGTTACTTTCGAAAATACTAATACACTGAAGTCAGGCTAACAAGTTGCCATTTTCTACCTTCCTTTTTAAACAATGGTGTTACATTTGCAACATTCCACTCTGCAGGTACGTTGCAGAATTAATAGAATGACCAATTGACTGTGATGCCACTTGGATCATTCTCAAAACGAAAAAGAAGATGCAAGAATGTGCAAATATCCTCGAGAAAATGTTTGTCTTTTGGTCATGACTGGCGATTTAAATCGTTGTTGAGACATCGTTTAGAAAGCAATTGACATTTAGCCCTGCAGCCCATAATAAAATCGTTAAGTTCTATACAAGTGTTTATAATTAACTTGTTTTCGCTGAAACTTTCAACATAGTTTGCGTTAAAATGTATTGATTTGAACGGTGTTTCATACTGGTTCCATATTGATTACTTATATCTGCGGATGGACAAATATTAAATACATCTTAAATGCAAACGTCCATATAATGACAGTGGGCAAACAATGCCACCACACAACTCCAGTAACAAATAACTAAAGCAAAGATTTGCGGATGCTGGAGATCCGAAGCACACAAAAACAGAAATTCTGAAGAAGGGGTTACTGAATTCGAAACGTGAACTCTGTGTTCATACACAGATGCTGTTAGGCCTGCTGAGTTTCTCCAGCAATTTGTTTTATGTACTCCAGTAATAGATTAGTTTACTTCCCAACAAAACTGGGCCAGGAACCGTCTCCACTCCGAAGGATACATTGGTTTCCCATATTCAACTGAAGGTGCGCTTTACATTCTTTTAGTTTTAACAATACATTGCATTATGGAATTAAACAATTCAATAAGGCAGCAAGCAAACTGATTTAGCATGAAACCCACTTGACTCGCTTTCTGTTGCCATTTTCTGAAGTTCTGATCAATTTAAAAGCTGAAAACAACTTGAAATTTTAATTCAAGGAGGGACAATTCCATTACTCCTTTAGCTGCTCCATTTTTGTTTCTTATAGAACATTTTTTAAATCAAGAATTCACTGTGGAATTACCCAGTTTCGTAATAACCTGACAATGATTTATTCACAACTGAACGCTTACCCTTCACATCCCGAAGACTGCGGTGATGTGCTGGACGAAGAATTTGAGGATACGACTCTGTAATGAATAGGAAACATCCCTCCAATTATCACATCACCCGGCATTTTAAAACTATTTAAATTAAACTTTCCTTTCAGTTTGCATGTTGATTTCCCAGAGACAGCCACGGAAATTGTTAAGCATGCCAAAAAAATTAAATAAATTCGTAGCTCCATTTGAGGGTTGGCAAGACATGAGAAAAAAAAGTTGGGTTGTCAGTTGGCCCTCGGCTTTTATGGGTTTTTGAGACACCAGCTAAAGCCCTATTGGTTAAACCCATGAAATGGGCCGAAGACAGGCACAGATATGGTCTCAGGAGGACCAAGAATCGGAGCCCTGTATCTCTCCCAGCAAAAACAATTACTAAAGACATGACAGACATTTCATTGGTCTTGGCTGTCGTTCCGTAGTGAACAATTGTCTTTGGCTAACGCTACAAATAAACAGGCTGACTAAATTTATATTTCCAAAGTGATTTCAAAAAGTTGCAAAAAGCGCGCAATATTTAGTTCAATCCTTAATAATATGCCACACTGAGTTTGGGCTATTTGGCTGTTTGACTCTTACGAAGCAAGATAACTGTGATGAACACAGGCTCACAAGGTGCCACACACTAAGAAACTATGCACTACCAATTCATCTTCAAATAACGCTACAAAAGAAACGAGCGCCATTTGAATGAGGCCAAATCTTAACAGAACATTCATTTCTTAACGGTAAAAACATAGGGGATTGGTTACATTGGTGTTTAAATGTATCCAGCGCAAGGGCGGATGGAAATCTCTTTTCGCAAACGTTGGCATTGCAAAGAGTCCCCTGCTAATTAATTACAGCAACAACATCATTGAGAGCAGCTGATTAATATTCTTGGAAACCATTGGGATGGATCACAATCAGGACCTAGGGCAGGTCTGGGTTTCTAACAAACATGTTTCAAGCCACCATGGACCTCAGTACCAGCTGATGGAGTCTTCTAATCTCAAACCTCTGTGGGTTTTATGATAAGTCTTGATCTATTTGGCACATGCCCCAGGGATCGAGGCTCCTTCGTCGTTAAAGTGAACGTTTTGAAGTAGTGGCCATCGTTGGATCTGTTCCTCACATCGCGCTGAAAGGACGGGCTCTCGTTCCACTGCACATTCTCTTGTCTTTCAGATTAGAGCGTCATTATGGCAGAATTCATTGCAGCAAGACAAAAGTAGAGGACAACTCATAATTTCCCAATTATTTCAATTCTACTTGCAGCAACGAGGCAGAAAAGCCCCATTTTCTAATTGCCCGACAGATGCAAATGGCATTCAATGTAACTTGTTAGTGCAAAAGTCCGGACTATAGTATTGTTTTCGAAGAAAACACGCGGGTTAAGAAAACGGTTCCAATTCTCAATTCGTAAACAAGTGCTATTTACATGCACCAATAACAAACCTGTTCCAAATTAATGAAGATTATTGTCCTATTCCCTCTGCTACAATGTTATAATGAATATGCCTTTGAGTATGAATTAAACAAATTAACTGTACTGAACAGTTTACTAACAAAACAAAACTGTTCCGCGAATTAACAGTTGCCATTGCCATGAAGTCATAATAATCTGAACCAATGGTTTAATGACTCGTGATTTTCTGAATCATTCCCAGCGACAGGCCTTCGTAATATCTCCAAGCCTTCCTTATAGTATATTTCACCGGAATACGACAGTTTATTGGCTTCCACATATCATGTCACTAGATGATTGTGGGCGTCTTAAATTTTACACATATTTTACCCATTTACTAATGGACCCTGGGCGATTACTTCTCTACAGCCTAACCAAGGATAAAAAGTGGATAAAATTGTTTCTCTATAAAAAGAGGATAAACTGTTACAGATAGATTTCAATGCAAGGAAAAAAAATACGTCCACTGGTGCGATCCAAAGAGAAAGTTAAGGGACACAACCCTTGACATTACAGCCAGGCCATTCAGGACGGAAAGCAAGTCGAACAGCATCATCCAATGGCTAGTAGAATCTCGCTGCCGTAAAAACAAACAAGAAATGCTAGCTCAATTTTTACTAATTTTTACTAAGCGATTATGGGGCCAACGCGGGAGGAGTAAGATGGAGTATAGATCAGTTATCACCTTGTTGACTGGAGAAACAGACTCGAGGGCCTGAATGGCCTGTTCATATCCCAGTGTTCTGAGCAGGATGCGAGAAACAAGAGCGTCCAGATCGGGTACCTTAGCGCTAAAGCACGTCCTTCTTAGTGAGGTTCCATTCAGATTGTATGCAACAAATGCAGCCTCATATACAGTGACTGTTGAAGTGCAGAAATAGTTTCATTTCTATCTTGTCTTTATTTTTCATAGGCATCGAACATATTATTAACAGACATTGAATCTAATTGTTGTCATAAACTGCTGTCCCAAGATTGGGGTAGTAGAAATCATGATTGCATCCAAGTGCCAGAACCAGAAGCGAAAAGTGAGGATTTCTTCAACAGAATATTACACCTGGAAAATAACCACGATAAGATCACAGCAATCCAGCCTCTGATGGACTGCAGAGAAATAATATTATTACACAGATTGTATATAATTCCTTTAGCATTATTCCTTTCCCTACTTCCCAACTAGGTCTGCATCAACTTTCCGCAATGGAAAGTCACCGTTCACACACCACCAAAACGATTTTTTTCTACCAATGGACAAATAAGTTTAACCAGCAGTCATTAGCCGATCTTTCGTGCAACAAAAAAAGCAGACGGCTCTTAATGCAAATCCAATTACAGATCAGATGACAAATATTACAAGCCGGCAAAATGGTGCATTGAAATTTATAGTTGCATTATTGGACAACTGGATTCTTTGTAATATTTTATCATTAAAGCTGGAAATAGGCATGGGAGGCTTAAATTTATTGTATAAAACGGAAATAAGTGTGTTTCAAAGAACAGAATTAACGTTTCAAGCCTGGTATGACTTCTTCGCAACTGGAGAATGTTATGAGATTTTCATCCGTACGTACGATATAAAGCTTATTCGACGGCAAACTAACTAAGAAAGTAATTAAACAACTGCACCAGGGTATCTGCATGACACAGCGGTGAGCTTATTTCCTTAACTGGTGAATATAACTAATAGAGTTTTCATTTTGCTTTATGTCTTCCAACTCCCTTCCAGACAATCAGCATCCAGAGATCACAGTCGTCAGTAGCTGTCTCCCAGATGTCAACATCCACAATCTTCATATGTCACTTGATAAGAGCTCATCATTCAGAGGTCTGTCACATATTGAAGTTATTTGTGTATATGGCCATTCTATCATTCATGGCAGAACCAGAGTAGACTTTATTAATTCAGTAATGAATGTATGTTAGAATCAGCCTACTCCAGGATCTTAGACCTGTTGATCATACAGAGGATTGGTCTGAAACAACAGAGATAGAAACTCATCAGCCTTTTCACATGTCTAGCACATATTGTCAATGTCTCACCATTCTACTGGAGTACACTGAGGATATCAGTTCACTAGATTCTTTCTTATAACAGCAGTGGGAGATCGGTGAAATCCCAGAGAAATTATGCAGATAATGGAAATGTCCATTTAATTTATTTCACTGAGTTTGGTCAAGTGTGTGCTGAAGTCACAGTAGAGGTCTGGTAAGTCCCAGTGGAAATTCTATGTCACTGTTTTTAAAGATGATATGAAAGGGAAATGAAAGCAGAATTCTGAGGAGAAACAACACACTGGTTAAGTTCTCTTGGGGCTTTTTACCTTTCATAATAGCCCAATTCTGCATATTCCCCCTTGCTTATAATGGCCTGGGCGAATGCTATTCCCTCAAATTGGGCCAGTCTCGGATCATAAGCATGGGGCTGAAGATCACTTTGTTATCCATTAAGTTTGCTTTCCTTCCTCCCTACATTTCCACCACAAAGACATAAACATGAGTGACAAATACAAATTTCAAAAGGGGACAGAGAATGTCGAGAAAGTGACAAATAAAGATCAGTACAGAGGCAAAAAGGAGCATAGCGCAAGAATGCCAAATGAGAAAAGCAAAAAGGATAAATCAGAAAAGGACAGAGAACAAACAAGAAGGTAGTTTACTATAACTCGTAAGGGGAAAGAGAGAAAGAAAGAAAAGCCTCAGTGATTTCAATCTGTTTCTCTTCTGCACTTGTCTTTTTACATCTGAATTCCCCACAAACCAACCTTCTTCAATGTCTCCCTGCAATCTTTCAACTCCCTTGGTTCCCACAAACTTCATGTACTATAGATGTATCCACAATGCCATTAGGGAGGAAGTTCCAGGATCTTGACCCCAAAGACAATGTATTTCCAAGTTAAGATAGTGAGTGGCTTGGAGGGGAACTTGCAAGTGGTAGTGTTCTCATGTAGCTGCTGCCCATGTCCTTCTAGATGGTATTGGTTGTGCTTTTGCAAGGTTCTGTCTAAGGAACTTTGATGAATTTATGCAGTGCATCTTGTAGATGGTCCATACTGAGTATCGGTGGTGAAGGGAAAAAAACTTTGTGGATGTGTGCCAGTCAAGTGGTATCCTTTACTCTGGATGGAGTCAAGCTTCTTGAGTGTCATTGGAGCAGCACTCATCCCGGCCAGTGGAGAATATTCCATCACACTTTTGACTTGTGCCGGTAGGTGATGGATGGACTTGGGGAGTTAGAAGGTGATTCACCTGCTGCAGGATTCATAGCTTATGACCTGCTCTTGTAGCCAACATATTTATATGGCTAGTCCCGTTCAGTTTCTGGTTAATGGTAAGATTAAGATTTTAACCTTAACCCTTAACTTTGAATAATAACCTTATCTTTAATCACCTACAACTTTTTATCAACCCCAATCCTGTCTGTGTCCAACTCCATAAAAGTCTCATTTACAAATTCAATGTATCCAGATTCTGGATTTCCATTGAGTTACAGTATCACAATAGATGCTGAGTTCTTCAAACATATCTAATGACATAGAGCATAGGATTCATCATTTTATTGCAAGTTTGTGTTTCTGGTTTTTGACTTTGTGTATGGGTTTTCTTTGTGTTTGAAGTTAAAAACTAACTTGT